TTTATCCCGGGAATAATTACGGTTCCCGTGGGATTCATTAATTTCGTTTTTAATTGTTAAATAAAATAATTAAAAGGTTATCTTACCTTCATAATACTCTAACTATTTGTATCGCCTCTGAAATTATTATTTATTTGAATAACATTTTTAATTATAAAACACAAACTCTAAATACAATTTAAACACTCACAAAATCGTTTTTAGAAAATGTTAAAGGAGTTAATAAATTACAAAATTAGATTATGTTTCCACCATAAATAAGAATGATAATAAAGAATTAACTATTACCTTAATTATTAGGATATTTTAAAATTCATTTTATGTAAACCAGTAATTTTTAATTTATTTCTGTCACAAATAATAATCTAAAATATACGACTTATGTATAAACCATATAACAGCAAAGCCACTTTTTAAGATTAAAATACTAAATTTATTTAAATATTACTTCAACATAAAATTATTTGCAACTCAATTGTACTTTGATTCGAAACTCGAGTTTTTTCTTTTACATAATTAAAAACATAAGCCAATGTCGTCGGGCAAAGAAAAGTTCAAGTGAAAACTACGAGTACGATCGCGTCCAACCCCGACGGAAGACGCGTCAGACTGAGCTCGACTCCGCGCAGAAAGTAAACTCGAGCCTAACAATAAGATGATCCGTTGGGAAATTTATAAGTTATCATACACTAGCTTTGGGCCGCGACTCCGTTTGCGTGGGTTAAAAAAAAGCGGGTAGCCTATGTGTTCCTCCAGAGTATCCTCTACATCTGTGCTAAATTTCATCGAAATCCGTTAAGTCGTTTAGGCTACAAACTCTAACAAACATCATCCATCTAAACTTTCGCATTTATAATATGAATAATTAACTAGTATGATTATTCATAATTGTTTATCTTCATGTCTAAAATACAGCCCAAAGCATATACGATATCTATTACCGGTCTTTTTTAATTTCTTTTCGAATAAGAACGACTGACAGACGTGTCAAAAATACTGCACAGAATCAACGATTGTTATGAAATGTTTTCTATATAATTTCCACAAGCTATTTAATTTAATGGATTTCCAACTGTTTTGCTAATAATAAACAATACATCATGCAGTACAGCGATTTCAGACAGCCTTTAAAATTAAGGAGTTATCTAACGCCATACAAATGTGTGTGTAATTGAAAAAACCTATTCCTAAAATGTAAAAAAAATGGATATTGAATCCTGGACTAAGATTTCCAAAATTCGATTCCAAAACTTTTTTTTTTCACCTTCGTTAAGTCTGTAATGTGTCTTCATGTTAAATATTTTATTTAGACCACCATGATCCAAAAGTAAGCTATAAATTTGAAGGTTTCCGGATACCGTATAATAAATGGGTGTAATAAATCTGAAAGGATAGCCCCGTAAATATAACGGATTTTAGATTATTACATCCATGCCAAATAAAACTATTC